ATTTAAGAGCAATGTATTAATACTGGTGTCAGTTTTAACAAATATAACTAGTAACATAAGATAACATTAGGGGAAACAAACAGAATAAAAGGTATATGGAAACTGTCTGTACTACCTTTGCAACTTTTCTTTAAATTGTTTAAAAAAATGAAAGATTTATTTATTTATTTTTGAGAGATTTTTGCCATATGGTACGTGCACTTGCTAGAGAGAGAGAGAGACAGAAAGTAAAAAATCACTCCCCCAGGGGGATGGCCACACCGCAATCCCTTTTTCTTCATTCTCCCCTCAGGTTTTTGGGCACACACGCATACATGCCCAGCATGAGTTTTTAAATTTTTTTTAGAGATTTTTGCTATAGGGCACATTTGCTCGTCAGACAGAAAGCGAGAAATCACTCCCCAGGAGGATAGCCATGCTGTAATCCCTTCTCCTCTGTTCTCCTCTCGGGATTTTGGGCATGCACACACATGCACCTAGTATGAGTTCATGCCACTGAGTCCATGACTCGATCATGTAGTGCAGTCAACTAAGTGGGAGTCCAGGGACGAAACCATTATGCTATCTGCTGACCCCCTAAAAGGTTTATTTTTTAAAGATGAAATTCTATGTATAAATCAAAAGGTCCTAAAGAATTCTGAATGACAAGCAAATATACTCTAACATAAATCTGAAATGAAATAAATGAATTTAATATTTTAAATTTAAAAAGGTCTTAAAAATGATATGTACCTATATACACACAAATGATCAACCAAATTATTAAAAGATTAAGTGATACACTGAGAAAAAATAGGTATACTAAGATATTAACAGTAGCTAACTCTCTGTGCTGAGCTCAGAGATTTTTTCCCCCACCTTTTTTGTATTTCTCAAATTTTCTCCAATGAACAGATATGACAGAGAACATTTTTATACTGCATATTTTAAAAATTGTCACATTGCTTTATGCTAGCATGATCCCACGTTGTTCTATGAGGTGTTGCTGGGTCTCTCCTCCCTGTATATACATAAAGAGTTCTATAGTCAGATACAATGTGCCTACTTGTTCCTTTTGCAGAGACCCATAATGCCTTAGTGTGATGTTAAAGGGTCTGAGAAGTCAACCAATAAACTTGAACTATTTTGACTAGCATTTACTAAACCTATTTGACCACATAAGTTACAACTTCTTAGAACAACTTACTATTTCAGGTACAATTAGGATTACATGTTGGGGAAATGCTCTTCTAGAACCCATCACTGTAGTTTTTTAAAGGAAGACACAGAGCTGGAGATTTCTTAGGCTAACTTAGCAAAGGATGAACTCCATAAGCCTGGACCTTTTGCTCCATGGGCAGGATGATCTTGCCTGTCGATACCAGTCAGCATTTTTCCTAGCCTCTCCTGTCATTGCCCAGTGGGCTCATGAACAAAGTGCCCATGGTGACAAGAATGGAGGTTATGCATGGGTTCAGCAACAGGGACTTCAATTCACCAAGGCTGACCTGGATGAGGGCACTGAGTGCCATCCTGCCAGCAGCAGAAACCAACACTGAATCCCTCATAGCACCATTTCCCAGAGTGATCAGCTGTGAGCAGGTTGATTTAATTGGACCATTTCTATCACAGAAGGAACAGTTCTGTGTTTACTGGAATAGACACTTACTCTAGATATGGATTTGCCTTTCCTGCATGTAGTGATTCTGTCCAAACTACCTGCAGACTTACAGAATGCTTTATTCACCATTATGGTATTCTACACAGCTCTGCCTCTGATCAAGGACTTTACTTTGAAGCAAAGAAGCACAGCAATGGGCCCATGCTCATTGAATTCACTGTTCTCACCATGTTTCCCATCACTCTCAAATAGCTAGCTTAATAGAATAATGCCAACAGCTTTTTGTAGACTCAGTCACAGTACCAGCTATCTGGAATCTAGTTGGAGAAGGGCTGGGGAAGGATCTTCAGATGCTATGAATCAGCATCCAATACATGGTATGATTTCTCTGAAAGTCAGGAATCAAGGGGTGGGACTGGAAGTAGCACAACTCACTATCGCCTCTAGTAACCCACTAGTAAATTTGTTTCCCATTCTTGTGACTCTATGCTCTTCTGGTCTAAAGGTCTTGGTTCCAGAGGATGGAATTCTTCCACCAAGACACAATGATTGCATTGAACTGGAAGTTAAGAGTGCCACACAGCCACTTTGGATTTCATATGCCACTGAAGCAACAGGTAAAGAAGGGAATTATAGTGTACACTAGGGTGACAAGGGGAAACTGGACTACTGCTCCACAATGGAGGTAAGGAAGAGTATGTCTGCAAGACAGGAGATCCCTTAGGATGTCCCTAGTTTTACCATTCCCTGACAGAGGTCAATGAAAAACTGTAAGACTCTTACAGAATGAAGGTTTGCGCCACCCTGTTTGTCAAGAATAACAAGCAACTGAGGTGCTTGCTGAAGGCAAAGGGAATTCAGAGTAGACAGTGGAAGAAGGTAGTTAAAAATATCAGCTACAGTCCTATGACTAGTTACAGAAATGAGAATTGTAACTGTCATGTGCATTTTCTTGTTTTATTATGAATACATTTTCTTTCTTTTCTTTTCAAATTTTTTTTTCTCTAAATTTTGCCTGAGGAGACACCTTTCACTAAAGAGACAGACAGAACAAGAGAGGGAAAATGAGAAAACATCCCCTATGGGGAATAGTCACACTGCAACCCCTTCTCCTCCATCTCTCCCTCCTTCAGGGATTTTAGGCACACACGCACACATGCCTAGCAATTTCTCTAACCTCCAGGTCAGGGACTTGAAACATGTGGTTAGCCATGTGGTATCCAGCCATCTTAACTACCATGCCACAGGCTGGCCCTTTTTTTCTTTCTCTGATTGTGTATTTTCTTTCTCTTTAAATATTGCTAATTTTTTTTTTTTTTTGGAGAGATTTTCACTGTAGGGCGCGTGCGCTCGCCAGACAGACAGAGAGAGACATAGAGACAGAAAGCGAGAAATCACCCCCCAGGGGGGATGGTCACGCCGCAGTCCCTTCTCCTCCATTCTCCTCTCGGGATCTTGGGCACGCACACGCACCCGGCGTGAGTTTTAAGCCACCGGGTCCGGGACACGAACCGCGGTCGACTACGTGGGAGTCCAGCAACATAGCCATTACGCTAACTGCTGGTTCCCAATATTGCTAATTTTTTATCACCATATTTTAAGCTATGGGATTATCAAGGAGAAGAGTAAACATCACTCATGAGCTTTACCTTCTCTTCTAAATTTTTAAAATTATTTACTTAACTAAAATTAAAAATTTAAATATTTATGGGGTACAATGTGATGTTTTAATTTATGTATACATTATAGAAAGATTTAATTGAACTAATTACCATATCCACCACCTCACCAATTTTTGGTTTGTGATGAGAATGTTCAAAGTCTATTTTAGGGATCAGCGGTTGCATAATGGCTATATTGTTGGACTCCCATGTAGTCAACCACAGTTCAAGTCCTGGACCTGGTGGCTTAAACTCACGATGGGTGCATATGTGTGCATGCCCACGATCCTAAGAGGAGAGTGAAGGAGAAGGGATTGCGGCGTGGCCATCCACCTGGGGGGGTGATTTCTCACTTTCTGTTTCTCTGCCCCTCTCTGTCTTTCTGGCGAGCACATGCACCCTACAGCAAAAACCTCTCCAAAAAAAAAAAAAAAGTTTATTTTAGCACTTTACCTCCTCTGAGGAAAGGATTATTACATTTCAGATGTACATGGGATAGCGATCTTGCCATTGTCTTAATTTGCAGACTAAGTATGGTTTAAGGAGATGTTTATGGGTGTCAGGTTGACAGGGTGGATGTGCAATGGTTAAACTTTATGTATCAACTTGACTGTACCACAGGTGCCAGATGAAACATCATTTCTGAGTATGCTTGTAAGGGTTTTCTGGATGAGATTAGCATTTGAATTAGTGGGTGCAGTAACATACACCGCCCTCCTTAATGTTGGTGGCATCGAATCTGTTGAGGGACTGAACAGAACAGAATAGAGAAAGAGGGAGGAAAGGAATTCATCTCTTTTTGTTTCCTGATTGCCAGCCTGAGCTGGAGCATCAATCTCCTGCTTTTGGACTGGGATTTACACCACTGACTCCCCTGGGTCTCAGCCTTCAGACTCAGACTAAAATTATACCCCCATCTTTCCCAGGCCTCTAGATTATAGATGGCAGATGGATCATGGGACTTCTCAGCCTCTATTATCATGGGAGCCAAGTCCTTCATGTATCTCTCTTCATCTATATTATCTAGATTCATATCATGTAAATCTGTATCTCCTACGAATTCTGTCTCTCTGGACAATCCTGACCAAGTTAATTCCCAATGCAAATTTCCTTCCCATGAAAATGCCTCTAATTTCACCAAAATATTCATGGATCTCAAGTTGTATGACTCTCTTGATCTCTTTTCATCTGAGTAACATATGATAGTAAATGCTCTGTTATATTTTTGTCTGAGAAGTGTGAACTTTTAGGCCTTATCTTTCCAGCTTTGAAAGTAAGAGCTTTGTCTCTTCTTCTTTATGTAGTTTCTTCCATTTGTTCATTCATCTTTTACTCATTCAACACATATTTACTGGGTCCAGGCATAGCCCATGCAATAGTGAGCAACACTAGCCTGCCCCCTTTACCCTTATGGAGATTACAGTTTAGTTGGTGACATAGAAAGTGAATAAACTGTCACAAAATACATATGTAATTACTAGCTTCGGCAAAGCTTTGAAGGAAAGCTGTTTGACGAGGTGCCACAAAGGGGGAATCTAACCTATCTGGAAGAAGTCATGTTTGAGCTATGATCTGAAGAATGAGTTGGTTGGTTTTCACTAAATAAGACAAGAAAAGGGGCAGAGGTAAAAGAAGAGTATTCCAGACAGAAGTCTAGGATGGGGAATGTGGGACAGGGCCTAAGTATCTACAGACTTGACCTCAAGAGACAGATGAATGACCAAACAGACACTACTAACCATTTCCTTCAATCTCTTTTCTTCTTGTTTTCTCTTACGCTGAGCCTCCTTTTCTTCTGCCTCCTTCTTCTGACGTTCCTCCTCTTGAGCCTTTAACAGGGCCTGATCATGATTAGAATGCAGAAAAACAAAAAACAAAAACAACCTCAATTTGTATGGGAGTAAGGTCTGGTATGTTGAACAAAGCCAAGTGCTTAGCAAAGTGCTTGCCCTGTCTCTGGAAGTCTGCACATTATGATAAAAGCAGAAAACCCCATCAATACATGGTCAGTTGTATAACTTACACATTTCTCTAAAAGGATGCTTTTCTGCTTGGGAAGATGAGGTTGAGTATGAATAAGACCATTAGTTTTTCTATCATAAAATGATTACTTTTTAGTTCTTACTTTTACCTGTGAAAACTAAGTCTAAATTATAGATAGGATTGGGGGGAGGACCCTCATTTTCTTTCAGTTCACTGAAAACTTGCAGAACTGCAGGAACTGATAATTGGTTCTTGGTAGGTACAAAACTTAACTCTAGAGAGTCTAGGTTAAAACTTTAGAAGATAAGAACTAGCTTCTTTTGCAAAGTTACTAGGTAAGACTTGTATCTGTTATACACTAATATTCTTTGTTATGTATAAATCTTCTAGTGTGCTAGCCCCCATTTCCTTCCAGCTGTGCTAATGATACTGATATTTTCCCCCTATGTTTTCCTAAAATTGTCACCGGTTTTATCAGAGGGCCAAAAGTCATTTCCAAAGTTGGTCTAAATCTTTAGTCTCAAAAGTCTAAATAAGAAAAGTATTTTTTAAAAGAAAAACCTACACAAATCATTTTTCTTGACTCAGTTTGTATTCTGAATTTATTACCAATTTCTCTTCTTCTTGTTTTTTCTTTTTCTCTGCCAAGATCCGCCTACGTTCAGCTCGTTGAGTTGCTCTCTCTTCCATGGCTAAAAAATAGTAAGAGTTCCAGTATAAAAAAAAAAAAAAAAAAAAAAAA